ACAAAAAAAGAAAGTCAATCAAAAGGTTTATCTGGACCGACCAACCAAACAAACATATGACACTTCCAGTAATGCTAAGGAGCCAACAGTTGGCTCCGTTATGGAGCCAACAACCAATTGGACAACTCCATGTGGGGCTGTCCCACATTAAAGTATTGTGGGACAGCCCCACATGGAGTTGTCTCATTGGTTGTTGGCTCCGTAACAGAGCCAACTGTTGGCTCTTTAGCATTATTGATGACACTTAACCTAATGTGCTTTGCTGCTGGGAAGGACAGAACTACGTAGAACATCTTCCACGCTAAACGTGAAAGAGGATGCTTAAAGTGTTCAAGATGTAGGAAAAAACGCTTGATGCATACAACTCACCATCACAAGTAGTCGATAAGTCAAACAAAGAAGTATGTAGATTAATTATTAAACCAAAAACGAAAAACTATAGGCCAGTGGCTGCCTAAGACTCATATTTTGGTAGCGCCTAAGACTCATATTTTGGTAGCCTCATATTTTGCCCAAACAATTTTCCAGACAGGTACTCTGCAAAATCGCTTATACTGATTTTTACTACCTTCCAAATGTTACTCCAAAGTTTTTCTCACAAGGAATTGTATACATACAAAAGAGATTAAAAATGAGACACCGACATATCACACAATCAACACAGTATCCTAGTCCAGAAAAACAGAAAAACAAAACTTCCCCACAAGATTCATCCAAAACAACTACTGCAAAGTGAATTGATGAGCCATATACATGGAATGCAAAGGTACATGCCGAGTCGAAGCAAATAAACTGATTTTACAATCATAATATACTACTTTCAAAGCCAGCCATGTCTGCATAGGAAATTAGTAAAACATACTAATAATGTAGATATATATCAAGGAGCCTTCATATATAAAGGACTTAAAAAAACAAACTAAAAGGATAAGCAGGCTTAATGTTAAGATGCTAGCCAATAGGACAGACCATCACCAAAAAAAAACAACAACCAGAATTCCTACCCACAGTAACAGCAGTCTGGAAACTAGCAAATCATAAACACACAGCAAAATATTCAATGGATCCATCACATAATAAGCCATATAAACTATAGATATTGATAAAAGCAGAAGGTTGCAACCTGCGTGCAAACCCTCAATGGTCCCGGGACTTCATGATCTTCAGAAGAAGCTTTGACTGTTGAGTCATGACCTCAAAATACCTCACGTTGACATCCATCTCTTCATTCTCGAGCTTCTTCCATGCTTCTTCTTCATCCCCCTCCTTGGGTTTGAGGTCCTCAACAGCTGGAAGGTTCTCACCTAAACCACTAAACAACCTTGCCTTCATCTGCAGAAACCTCCTGTTACTAACCACTGAATCCTTAATATTATTGTCGGATACGGATTCAGATCCGGGTGAGGCGGGCTGTGTGGCAGAAGGGGTGTGGGGTTTCCTGGCGGCGGACGGTGGTGCGGAGGACCTGCGGATTGGTTCGGGCTCAGATTCGATTTCTTCTGGCTCAGATTCGATCTCTTCTGGCTCAGATTCGAAGGAATCGTCGTTTTCCTCCTCGCCAGAAGAGGTTTCAGAGGAGACGGTCTTCTCGGGCTCACGGGATTTCGACATTTTTTTGGTGAGGAAAGTATAGAGTTAGGGTTTTTTCTTTCGATTTCATTTTATAGTGTGCTCATCTGTACTTATATAATAGGAGTTTTATCAATAAAGGATCGGAAATATGGGTAAATTATCAATGCGGGACCTGAAAGAATTTTTTTTTTCTCAATTCGAGACTTAAATATTATAAAACTATCAAATAAAAGACCCAAAAGATAGGTAAACTATCAATGCAGGGACTGAAAGATTTTTTTCTCAATTCGGGACTTAAATGTTATAAAACTATCAAATTAAATCTAAAATTAACAAAACTCATGACACCATTAAATTTAGAGTTAAAAAATAATAAAAGATTGGTGTTTAAATTTAGAGTTTTAAAAAAAATATATATGATATTTAATTATTACATTTTATTTTCATATCCATTCACATTTTTAAACTATCAATGCATATTAATGAAATTTCAATAAGCATAATAGTCAATTTAAATATAAAAATAATATTAATTATTTACTTAATATAAATAGTTGCTTTATTCTTTTTAACAACAAATACAGATATTTATGATGACAATAATATTATAAACACTAAAGAGTACGATTGGTTATAAATTATGTAAAAATGTGTGAATTAAAAAGTGAGTTAAAGAGTAAAAAAAAAAATTGATAGAAGAATACAAAATTTTTAAAAATGTGAATGAATATGAAAATAAAATATAATAATTAAATATTATATTTATTTTTTTAAAACTCTAAATTTCAACACCAATCTTTTTTTTTTTAAACTCTAAATTTAATGGTGTTATGAGTTTTGTTAATTATAACCTTAATTTGATAGTTTTATAACATTTAAGTCCCGAATTGAGAAAAAAAAAATCAGGCCCCGCATTGCTAGTTTACCCATCTTTCGGGACTTTAATTTGATAGTTTTATAACATCTAAGTCCTGAATTGAGAAAAAAAAAAAAAAAATCAAGCTCCGCATTGATAGTTTACATCTTTTGAGCCTTGTACTGATAAAACTCCTATATAATAAGGTATAATATTTACCAAATTTAGTAGGTTGAAAAGTCAACGTAAGTAATGCATTGCTATTTCTATCAAACTTACGTTGCTATTTTTATCAATAATTTTATTTATTTATTGTATTGATTTGTCTTATATCCCATAAAATCAATTTAAGAAAAAAAAATACATAACATCTGGTAAGTAAAAAAAAGAGGACGTAAAATATTTACTAAAATAAAAATAAGCTTTATTTATTTGTCTTATTCTATATTAACATCGATTTTGTCAAAACAAATCCCATAAAATCGGTGAAGTCAAAATTTGTACGTAAAGTCTATCTATACTACAAAAGGTAGATTCGAAATTCATTATATAATTTCTTCTTTTCCTTACTTAATTCCTTCTTATTAT